AAATCTGAAATACAGTTTCGTTCGATTCCCGAGGCTTGAGTCTGCGAAAGGTGGATCACACGACGGATTGATTCTCGAAGTGCAAAAGCCCACATGGACTTCACCTTAAGCCCACCCTAAGAACATGCTCAGTAAACGTGTGAGGGGTGCGCTAAAATGGGCGCAGTGCCGCCAACGAGCGCTGCCACTGGGGCGCGGAGCTCCCGATGTGGCCACGACACGCGTGAGGGGTGTCCCGAAATCGGCACGGTGCCGCCATGCGGGTCCTGCCGCTGGTGCGTTCGGTGGAGCCCCCCACGGGGCCACGAGAAACGTGTGGGGGGTGTGCCAAGACGGGTGCGGCGACGCCGCGCGAACGCAGCCACTGGGGCCTTCGGCGGAGCTCCCTACGAGGCCACGAAACGTGTGAGGGGTGCGCCGACATGGGCGCGGTGCCGCCAAGCCACTGGTGCCTTCGGCGGGGCTCCCTATGGAGCTGCGAAACGAGTGAGGGGTGTACCGAAATGGGCGCGGCGATGCCATGCGAACGCAGCCACTGGGGCCTTCGGCGGAGCTCCCTACGGGGCCATGAGAAACGTGTGAGGAATGGGCGCGGCGACGCCATGAGCCTCCAGCGGAGCCCGCTATTGGGCCACGAGAAACTTGTGAGGAGTGTGCCAAAATGGGTGCTACGATGGCATGCGAACGCAGCCACTGGTGCCTTCGGCGGAGCTCCCTACGGGGCCACGAAACGTGTGAGGAATGTGCCAAAATGAGCGCGGCGATGCCCTGCGAACGCGACCACTGGGGCCTTCGGCGGAGCTCTCGATGTGGCCACGAAACGTGTGAGGTGTTTGCCGAAATGGGCGCGGCAACACCATACCAACGCAGCAACTTGGGCCTTCGGCGGAGCTCCCCATGCGGCCACGAAGCGTGTGATGGGTGTGCTGGAATCTGCATGCGGAGAGCATAGGCAGGGATGTGGAGGAGGGAGGAGGAGAGGAGAGGAGAGGAGAGGCGGAGAGGAGGAGACGTGGGGCGCTGCGGACTCAAAACCAGGACCCAACACCACCACAGGATGATTGGGACAAAAAATCGTCGGATGTATGAGTACGCGTTAGGGTCCCACCCGCAGCACAGGCTTGCGCGCCTGGATTTGGCCCCCACCCCGCCCCCCCCCCCCCCCTCTGAAGCCGCGCACCAGGGTCCACTCGTGCCCAGGGTCCATCTTGCGCGTCGCCGCGGAGGAGGAGGAGGAGGAGGTTGAGGAGGAGCAGGAGGAGGAGGAGGAGGAGGAGGAGGAGGAAGAAGAAGAAGAAGAAGAGAAGATGGGAGGAGGAGGAGGAGGAGGAGGAGGACGAGGGGAAAAGGAGGAGGAGGAGAGGAGGAAGAGGGGGGGAGGGAGGAGGAAGAGGGGGGGAGGGAGGAGGAGGAGGAGGAGGAGGAGGAGGAGGAGGAGGAGGAGGAGGACTATGTTTTGGATTGTTCCAGTCCTCCCTGGCTCGGGATAACACCGCCCACTGGGCCTTCGGTCCCCGCGCCCTGGGGCGCCGGGATAGCCACTGCCCCAGGGGGGACCTTCGCGAGGGGGGCAGGGCGACCCCGAATGGCGGGGGGGAACCGGGAGTGAAGCATCGGCGGCTTTGCCAGCGGGAGGGAGGAGGCCAAGGGGGAGAAGGGAGAGTAAGGCGTCGGCGGCCTCGGCATCTTGGGGGCCTCCTTGGGCCTCTTGGGGGCCTTTGGGGGCTTCTCGGGGGCTTCTCGTTGGCCGTCTTGGTGGGCTCCTGGCCCGTCTGACGCCGTCGGAAGCCGTCTTGGGAGCCTCTTTGGGCCGACTTGGGGGCCCTCTTGGAATGCTCCAGGGCCGTCTTGGAAGACCTCTTGGGCGTCTTGGAGGCCTCTTGGGCGTTCTTGGGGCCCTCTTGGGGCCGTCTTGGGGGACTCTTGGGCCGTTCTAGGGCCATCCTGGAGGCCTCTTGGGCGATCTTGGGGCGATCTTTGGGGGCTCTTGGGCCGTCTCGGACCGGCGGTAGGCCGAAAAGAAGCAAATGCCAAAATCTTTCAAAAAACCTGCGGATAATCCATGATTTGGGCCTCTTCGGGCCTTCCTGGGCCCTTGGGCCGTCTTGGGCCATCTTATGGCCATCTTCGGCCGTCTTGGTGGGCTCCTGGCCCATCTTACGCTTTCGGAAGCCGTTTTGGGAGCCTATCTGGGCCGACTTGGAGCCCTCTTGTAATGCTCCAGGGCCGTCTTGGACGCTTTCTTAGGCGTGTTAGAGGCTTCTAGGGCCGTCTTCGGGCCCTCTTAGTGCCGTCTTCAGGGCCTCTTGGGGCGATCTCCGAGGGCTCGTGGGCCGTCTCGGGCCGTCGGAAGGCCGAAAAGAAGCAAATGCCAAAATCCTTCAAAAACTTACGAGCAAAGTGCGACGCTTAGCGTGCACAACGCCCCCAGAGGGACAAGATTTTACTCACCGACCATGCACGCTATACGAAATCTCCCTTTCGAAGCCATGTTGTCTTCCGAAAAAACGTGCGTGCGCGCTACACGTGTCTATGTTGCAAGCGGACGTGCACGCTAAACGTGTTTACGTTGGCGATATTGTACATTGCCACTTTCCTGGGCATGCGTGTATCGCGTCCTCGTCAGGGTGCACTCTATACAATGCCGACTCTTCGGCTCACCTCTCCGTTCCCTAGCCCCGCCCCTCCTCCGAGCAGGACGAGCTGCCCAAAACGAGCCAAAATGGTGCCCAGGATGGCCCAAGAGGGCTTGCAGGGAGGCCCAGCGCGACCCCAGAGGGCGGCGGGAGGGGCAGGAGGCAGGTGCACGCTATGCAGCTCCGGCTCCAGCATGGGGGGGGCAGGGGGGCTCAGGGCTCCAAGAGGTGACGTCCAGAGGGCCCCATGGAGTTCTAAGACAGCCTGGGATGGCTCCAGGAACAGCCCAGAACAACCCACGAGGGCCCCGAGCACCACAAAGACAGCCCAACAGGGCTTCCAGAGAGGCCCAGGACGGCCCAAGGAAGCCCCAAGAAGGCCCCAAAGGCCGCCAAGACAGCCAAGCATGGCCCCGATTGCTACTCCAAACGAGCCGAAATGGTCCCCAAAGCGCCCAGGATTGCCCAGTAGTGCTTTCAGGGAGGCCCAGCGCGACCCCAAGGGGGGGGCGGGAGGGCCGTCTCGGGCCGCTGGCCCTGCCAGAATCCCACGAAAGTGGCGACAGTTTCGCAGAACGCAGCCCCCCAGGGGACGGCGAGGTCTCGTAGTGATCCGCGTATGACGTACCTCCGTCGGGCCTTCCCAGGAGCCCGCGAAAGTGGCAACAGTTTCGCAGATCGCAGGCCCCCCAGGGGACGGCGAGGTCACGAGGCAGGGAGAAGGACGAAGAAAACGAGGAGGAGGAGGAGAACGGAGGGAGGAAGGAGGAGGTGGGAGGAGGAGGAGGAGGAGGAGGAGGAGGAGGAGGAGGAAGAGAAGGAGCAGCAGCAGGAGGAGGAGGAGGAGGAAGAGGAGGAGGAGGAGGAGGAGGAGGAGGAGGAAGAGGAGGAGGAGGAGCTGGGGACTGCAGTGCTCTGTTCAAGACGAGTGCCCAGCACAGGAGGGTTTGGGGAGGCAGAAAAAGAACACACACACACACACACGGCCCCTGCCGCGCGCGCCGCTGGACCCGGCCCGCGCAGTCCCGGGGACGAGTCCTGGGCAGTCGGCCGCACATACGCACGAGTGACCCGCAGTACAGTGCCGTTTTTCATACATGCTCCGCGTGCGGATCATGTATTAAAATGCTGGGATTTAATATTGAAAACAACGATGAGTTCATGCATGAATTCATTCGTAAATGAATCATGTATTAAAAGTCCTATATGTTTAAAATCCTATGTATTAAAAACTGCCCTGTAGCCTTTCGCCGGAGTGCGTTTTTGTACGCGGCCTTCGAGGTGCGCGGAGGGCCAGACCCAAGCGCAGGCGCCACTGCCGCATCGCGCAGAGCGGTCGTCGGTGCGCGCACACGAGGTCGCTCTTTCTCGCGTGCAGCCGAGGGAGAGGCCGGGGCAACCCCTCGAGAGCTCTTTTCTGAAGGCCTGCAGAATCCCCCAGGACGGGCCAAGAGGGCCCTGGGAGTCCTCCAAGGACGGTCCGAGGGCTCCGACACGGCCCCAGAGCGATGCAGGACGTCCAAAGGCGGCTTCAAGACGGCCCCAAGGGTCTCCAAGATGCTCCAATATGCTCCCAGAGGATACCAAAGAATGGCCCGAGAGGCCAGACCTATTGCGGCTCCTCAAGGTTTTGTGCGATCGTCGCATCCTCGCCTTCTCAGCCAACTGACTTGCCAGGACGGTCCAATAGTCCCCGAATGTGGCTCCACGGTTGACCCAGATGCCCCGTACAAGCCCCCAGGGCAACCCTTCCAAGAGGAGGAGGAGGAGGAGGAGGAGGAGGAGGGGGAGGAAGAGGAGGAGGGGGAGGAGGAGGAAGAAGAGGTCGAGAAGGAGGAGGAGGACGATGACGACGACGAGGACAATGAGGAGGATGAGGACGAGGAGGAGGAATGGAGAAGATGAGTAGTAGGGTATGAGGAGGAGAGCGGCGGCTTGTCTCCCGGCTCTCGGCTTCATTTGTCCGCGAAACCGTCAGACTCACAGACGGCCCGAGAGCGCTCCAAGACACTCCAAGATGCCCTCAAGACGGCCCCAGAGCCCCCATCCCCAAGGCCACCAAGAGAACGCCCACGAGGGCCCCAAGAAGCAACCATAAGCTTTTCCCTGGGATGTTTGAAGGTCTGTGCCCTTCCAGCCTTTTCGCGTTTCTGTCACCGCAAGAGGGTCCTCCCAGACCGCGCCGTGAAGGCGCAAGAGGCCCCAAGAGCGCCCCAAAGGCGGCCCCAGAAGGCGTCCTGAGGGCCCCGAGAGGGCGTCCATGGCCATTGTGGCTCAGGCGGTGCCGCAGCTAGCGGCAGCTGTATCGCGTCGGACAGTGCGGGGTACGCGTCAGCGCGGCAGGAAGACTGCCCCGACCATTGGATGCTGGTTGAGAGCAACAGCGAGAGCGAGTCCCTTGATTCCAGGATCCAGAGCTCATCGGGCTTCGGGGACGAGTGCTCGTCGGCGCTGGGTAGCGACGTCCTCCGATGGCACGAGGCAGCAGAGCTGTCCGCGGTTGCAGGACAGCCCGCATCAGGCCTTCATGTCTTTCTGGCGGATAGCGCGAGCAATGGAGGGAGCAGCAGCCTGCACCCGAGCAGCGGATGCGAGGAGAGCTCGGGCGCCTCGGCTCTGGACCGCCAGGGGCGGCCGCCAGTGTGCGAGCGGGACGGCTCCGTCATGCAGATCTCCGACCTCTTTCCGGTTCTCCTCTGCTCGAGGCCGCACTACATTTGCAGCCGTTGCTTCGGCAGCTCCCGGCAGGGCCACCTGGGAGGCTCCTCGCGGAGGTGGACGTGCACAACGTGCCGGAACGACACCTGCTTGCAGTGCTTCCCGGAGGAGCCCACAGCGGAGCCGCCTACGCCAGCCGCCGTCCGCCCCGGCGCGCGCCCGGAGAGCGGCAGCGAAGGCGGCCAGGAGGAGAAGGAGGAGGACGAGCAAGAGGTCGCGGAGGAGTCCGTCTTGATGGCGTCGAGGGGCAGCGCGCAGCACCTCGCTGGCACGTGCAGGCCATGCATGTTCGTGCACACCTGGGTGGGCTGCAGCGCCGGGGTCGACTGCAAGTTCTGCCACGCACCCGGGTGCAAGCGCAGACCCAGAGCGCGGGCGCGGCCGAGCAAGACCACACGGATGCATTGCAAACAGCTGGTCGCCTCGCTGGCTTCCGCGTGCGGCGGGGACAGCTCCCAGGCGGCGCAGGCAGCGGGTGCGATGGCCGCCGAGAGCGCCTACATGGCATACTCGCCGCCATGGGCAGACAGCTCCCCGGCCAGGCCGAAGAGGTCGCCCAGGGCGGCGCCGCGCACTCGTGGGAGCCGCAGCCTGCGGAGCCGACGGCGCTGCAGGGCTCGCCCAGCCAGTGGCCAGCCCAGTGGGGCGGCGGCCCAGGCCTGGCTGGCGTCGGGCCCGTCGGCGCGCCCTCGGCCAAGCAGCGCGCAGCGGTGGCCAAGCAGAAGGTCGACAAAGGAGCCGCCTCTGCCAGCAGCGGTGAGCCTCGGGGGCACTGGATGCCGCCTGAAGTCAGAGCGACGCGGGCGCAGATATACGACTCGAGTTCCCCTTGAGCGGGAGGAGGCCCGATGGGGGGAAGCATTATCTTGCCAGTTTCAATCGGGGCAGGTGATGACGTGGGTGGCGAGCCGCTCAGTGATAGCGCTGTACAAGGAGGGTAGACGTTTGGACACGACTGAACGGCAACCATGATGTTGTTTTATCGTAGTGTTGGGGTGGGGAGTGTGAGCATACGATATGGAATTGGGCAAGGGAATTGCTTTCAAATTATATGTATCATGGGGCTGTTCAGCTTGGAACGGTTTGCACTCCGTCGTTCTCTCTCTCTCTCTCTCTGTCTCTCCCTCTCTCTCTCTCTCTCTTTGTCGCTCTCTCTCTCTCTCTCTCTCTCTTTCTCCCTCTTCCTCTCCCTCATTATTGCTATCTCTCTTCACTCGTACTGCTGCAGTTGTGCTCTGTGCGGGGCTGCAAACTGAGGCTTCGGAGCGGCGAGGGCCTGAGTATACCTGCTTGTGTTACGAGCAGCCGTTTCACCAGTGAATGCCCTACGAAATCCACGTGCTTGCAGTAGGTCCAGTCACCGTACCAGCCCAGCATTTGGGGTGGCCATTGTAACAGTTCGAGGGAGGCACGGGAGGCCGTCAAGTGTGACACATCGTGTCTCGGGGCTTGGGAGAGCCGTGTTGACGATGATGATAGTAGTAAACATGATGATGATGATGATGATGATGATGATGATGATGATGATGATGATGGTGATGGTGATGGTGATGGTGATGGTGATGGTGATGGTGATGGTGATGGTGATGGTGATGGTGATGATGACGATGGTGATGGTGATGGTGATGGTGATGGCGACAATAATGGTGGTGGCGGTGGTGTTGAGGATGATGATAGAGATGGTGACGACGGTGATGATGATGATGATGATGATGATGATGATGATGGTGGTGATGATGATGATGATGGTGATCATGGTGGTGATGACGATGGTGTTGGTGGTGGTCGTGGTGGTGATGATGATGCTGATGATGATGGTGGTGATGATGATGATGGTGGTGGTGATGATGATGGTGGTGGTGGTAGTGATGGTTATGGTGATGATGATGACGACGATGACGATGACGATGACGACAACGATGACGATGATGGTGGAGGTGATGGGAATGGCAATGGTAATGATAATGGTAACGGTAACGGTGATGGTGCTGGTGCCGGTGATGTTGATTGTGATGGTTCTGGTGATGATGATGTTGATTATGATGATGGTGATGATGACGATGATGATGATGATGATGGTGGTGGCGGTGGTGATGAGGATTAGGATGATGGTGGTTATGATGATAATGATGATGGTGGTCGTGGTGGTCGTGGTGGGGATGACGATGAGGATGATGATGATGATGATGATCATCATCATCATGATGAGAATGATCATGATGATGATACTGATGATGACGATGATGATGATGATGGTGGTGATGGTGATGGTGGTGATGATGATGATGGTGATGATGATGATGGTGGTGGTAGTGGACGCGGTGGTGGTGATGATGATGGTGGAGGTGATGATAGTGATGGTGATGTTGATTATGATGATGATGATGATGGTGGTGATGATGGTGATGATGATGATGATGATGATGGTTGTGGTGATGATGATGACGACGGTGACGATGACGATGACGACGATGCTGATGACGACGAGGATTGTGGTGATCGTAATTGCAATGGTAATTGTGATGGTGATGGTAATGGTGATGGTGTTGTTGACGGTGATGGTGATGGTGATTGTGATCATGATGGTGATGGTGATGGTGATGGTGATGGTAGCGGTGGTGGTGGTGGTGATGATGATTATGATGATGGCGGAGTTGATGGTGATGGTGGTGGTGATGAGGATGATGATGATGTTGATGATGATGGTGGTGATGGTGTTGGTGATAATGATGGTGGTGATGATGATGATGGTGGTGGTGATGATGATGATGACGACGACGATGATGACCTCGCCGCCGCCCAATGTCGCTTCACTGCTCTCCAGGCCGCCTGAGACTGGGCCAGCGTTCCGCTGCTGCCTCCACTACCGTGCTGGTGGCCTCCGTCTCGGCTGCCACCAGCACCTTCCACCAGGCGAAGCCGCAAGGCCGCCCATTTTGAAGACTGCCGTCCAACTTCTTCCGCTGGTGCGGCCAGCTTCCCCCGGGTGGCGTCGCTCACCGCTGTTCTCGTCTCGGGCGCGGCCCGCTTTACGCGAACGCTTGGCGCACGGCGCACGGCGCCGTGCCTGCAACTCTGCCACGCTCAACCGTGCGCCCTCTGCCAGTCCAGCACCAGGAGTGCTTCTGGCTACGGTCTCTTTAGGCCGCGCCTTCGTCCAAAAGCGCACTAGCGCACGGGGCGCTGATGGTCCTGGCGCCCGCGCGGACTCCCGCGTGCACCGGTTTCTCGCCCTCCCTTCCTCCCTCCCTCCCTCCCTCCCTCCCTGCCTCCTTCCTCCCTTCCCTTGTTCTCTCTCTCTCTCTCTCTCTCTTTCTCTCTCTCTTTCTCTTTCTCTCTCTCTCTCTCTCTCTGCCTATTCCCTGCATCCCACCCTGAGACCTCATCACCATCCTCCACTTCTACTCCACACGCATCATGCCGCTGCTGCTTTTGAGTTTCCCGCTGCCGCTTTTGTTCCAGGCCATCCAGGATGGTTAGGACTTGCGTGATACTCACAATTCTGAGCTTGGGCCTCGCTCGCGACGAAAGCGCCCGCTCCCGGCCGCGATATTGAGCTAGCGTGTGCGCTGGTGTGGCGTGCCGCTGGGCTCCTTCGTGGTGATTTTTATAAGTATGCGCCAGCGTGGGGATCCGCCAACAGGCTCTCTCTCTCTCTCTCTCTCTTTATCTTTCTCCCTCTCTCTTTCTACTGGACGACCACCTTGGCCCTCGTCAAGGGAAGCTCTTCTCCAGCCAGGGGCGGGGGAAGGGAAGGAGCAGGAAGGAAAGCGGAAAGCGGAGAAGACGGGTGCGGAGCCCGGTGTTCTTCGTCCTTTCACTGCCCCCTTCTCCCTCCTCCTCCCCCTCCTCATCCTCCTCCGCCCTCCCTCCTTCCCTCCCTCCTCCTCATGCTCCTCCTGTTCCTCCTCCTCCTCCGCCTCCTCCTCATCATCATCACCACCATCATCATCATCATCATCACCATCATCATCATCATCATCATCATCATCATCATCAGCATCATCATCATCATCCTTTTCCTTCTCCTCCTCCCATCTTCCTCCTCCTCAGCGACGTGCAAAACTGACCCTGGGCACGAGTGGTTTCGGTGCGCGGCTTCAGGATGACCCAAGAAGCCCCCCAGACGGCCCAAGAAGCCTCCACGATGGTCCCAAGACCAAGAAGTCCCAAGATGGTCCACGAGGACCCTACGATGGCCTAAGAGACATCTAAGAAGACCCCAGGACGCCCCAAGAAGGCCTCCGGTGGGACCCCAGACCCCAAGACGGCCCAAGAGATCTCCAAGACGTAAGAGGGCCCCAGGACGGCACCAAGAGGGCCCCAAGGGACTCCCAAGACTGCCACACGAGGCGAAGACAGCCCAAACGATTTCCATGAAAGCTCTTCAAATAGAGAAGACAAAAGGTGTCACGTGTGACGGCCCACTGGGCCGTCGCGGCAGCAGCGGTGAGATGCCTTGAAAGGGCACCCCGCGGGTCTCTAGGGTCCGCGGGGGTTCTTGGGTCGGCTGGCAAGAGGGCGTGGTTACGTAGTCGCAGAAGCGAGGGATGCACGTTAGTGAATGTCCGTTGGCCTCGCCGCCACAGCGGGACTAGCCTGGTCAGCAAGCTGACCAGGCACAGTGCCGATGCCTTGGGCGGAGGCCTGCTCCGCAGTTGGGATGACCGAGGGGCGGGTTGGTGGCGTGTGTGCAGCCGCTGCTGCATTGTCGCGGGCGTTGACTTGCTCACGGCCCTCCTCACGCAGCACTCGAGGATTGTGTTCTTGGCGCGCCGATGACGGCAACACCATTCCACCTTCCCTGCGGGACTGCGCCCCCTGATCCAGTCCATGGCGCACCTTTTCCTGTGCAAGATATTCGGCACCGCCTGTTTTCTGAGCCCTCCGGCCGCCTGAGGCCCCGCCCGCCCGCGCCCTGTCTCCCTAATTAGGGCTACCCGCGTCCCGTTTAGCTCTTGACCGGAAGGGGCCCGCTCCCGACCCGCCGACCAAAAAGTAGCCGCTGCTGGGCTGCGGCGGTGCCGACGCCGTCGGGTGTTCCGTCGTCGCTGTACATGTTTCCGCCCAGCCCGAAAGTATCGCGCTCATCGTCGCAGTCTGGGAGGTCGCCGCCCCAAGCGGCGACGAGGGCGCAAGCGGGGCTGCCCTCAAGAGGGAAGTTCAGGCTGGAGCCAGCGCCAGGATATGTTCCCGCGCGACCGGCGTGGGCGCGGAAGGTGACAGCATTGATGTCAGCACCGTCGTCCGCATCGTTTTGGTCGAGTTTGCTTCCGAAATTGCACGGATGTTTTATGTCCGAGTCAGGCCATTTGTGAGCCCAGTCGTCTAGGTCGTCGGGCGGCGGCGGTGGTGGCGCACTGTCCGATGGCGGGGCGCCTCCATGGTCGGGGTGTTGGCCTTTGCGTTTGAGCTCGTGCTCGGTGAATCCCGCCCTCAGGTGGGGGAAGGGAAGGGTGCAGTGCCGCCGCTGGTCGTAGATCACCACGGCGACGCTGCGCAGGGCGGCGGCGAACCTGTGCCGAGCCTGGCCGCGCCAACGACTTCGAGAGGCATGTTGTGGAGATTAACCTGGTTGGTGGTGAGCGTGTCAGCATGCCAGTTGAACTACTCCGCAGTGGCACTGGTGCGGGCAGCAGCCGTTCCTTCCTCCCGAGGTGGCCGGCAACCTTTTTTACACGGAACATGTCGGGTTTGGTTTGGAGGATTCGGTGAGCCCGGGCCCACAGGTCAGTTTGGTTGCCTTGGCGCCGTAGTGGTGCTCCTTTGAGGAGGGCCTGGAACCCGTCCACGACGGCCTGGTTGTCAACGAAGACGTGTACGGATCGTTCGGCGGTGCCAGCCAGGTGGAGCAGCGCCAGTGTTTCAGCGCGCTGGGCCGCCTGGGACAAGCCGTGGACGCGGGCCGTGTAGTTGAGCCTACGAGTGGGGCCATAGAACATCACATAGGCCACACGGGCAAGGAGGTGGTGGGTCTGATGCGAACACGCCCCATCGGTGGCAGCGTAAATCCCCCGTTTGTTGTACTCACGGTAAACATCCGGGTCATCATTTTCTTGGGCCGGCCGTCGGATGGGTTGTGGTTGGAGGCCCCTGGAGAGCTCGGCTTCGTGGTCAAGCAGGCGCGAGTCATCTTCCACGACACCGCAGTGTCGGGCGCCGGGGGGCAGAGCGCGCCACCGTTCATCGGTGAACATGAACGTCAGTGGCTGGCGCTGGTGGGCTCAGCACCGGCAGCGCCAGACGGTATGCTTCT